CAATGACATGAGACAAAGTATATGTGAACTGCTGTATGAAAAGTGAATTTACTCTGTAAATCTTCACCCAAATCCTAATAAAAAAAAATAAAAAAAGTGTACTCCTCTCATTCTCATAACCAAAAGAATATTGCCTGTCAGTACTCTTATTTTAGTTGTGGTTTCCCTAGGAGTTCATGTTAAATATTTGCTTTCTTTCTTCTCTTATCCAGTTAATCAATGCTGTGTTCTCTGTGTTCTCCTGTCCCACTGTCACCACATTAAAATGGCTACTATGGTAGCCACAACCGGTCCAAACTCCTTGACCTAGGCTTTCTATTTGTAGGGACTCCCTCCCCTCTCCCTACGTCACCCCTATAGCCCATTCAGAGTCTTCCCATCTTACCTAGAGTAGGTAAACTGATTTCTCTTGCAGTACTACTGTAACCAAACAGTCATCTATTTATTGGAAGTAATATAAAAATAATAGTGATTTTCTTTTCATATACTCTACAGAATATGTCACAAAAGCAGCTCATTGCAGACCCGCAGTAAGATGGCAGACTAGGCAGAAAGACTGCACAGACCCTTTTCAACAAAGAAAAGGGGAACCAATTAACACAGATACAGAAGATAATCCTGGACCCCTGAGCCTTGAAGGGAAGGATATACAAGTGGACTAAACCCCAACTGGCAGAAGAATTTACATGAAAATACCAAAAAAGGAGACATAGGGAGCTGCGGTCTGGCAGCGATCCTGACGGCACAGCACAGACAGCTTGGAGAGTGCCAAATCTGGTAGGACCTAAGAATTAACCTAAAATTCAGCCCTGCTAGCCAGGGACACACAGAGGAAAGCTCTGGTGGCTGGTGAATAAAAGGAGAAGCAGCGAAGAGGAAGACAGGCTGAGCTGTAGACTTTTGCCTGTCCGGAGGGCACAGACATTTTGAATGTTTACAAGAAGCTTGGCCATTTTGGATATTTAAAGAGACAGCACTCTCCCAGATTCCAGGGGCTTAAGAACAGATTCCACTTGCCAGCAACCCCAAGAACACTCTGGACCTGGACGACTGAAAAGGTACAACATTCCCCTTGTTATTCATATACTCCACACCCAGTTGGTGAACAGAGGTGCAGCCATCCCCCACTCTCACCCACCTTCTGGGCCCACAGGAACTCCATCCCAGTCTGTGTGCTCTGATGGAGCCTGGGTGACCTGCTCTGCCCTCCCTCGATTTTTTTCTTTTTATTTTATTTTTGTCTTTTTTTTTTCTGGTTATTAGTTTGCTTGTTTTTTTCTGCTTTACAACTATTATTATTATTAATACTTTTGTCCTTTTTACTACTATTCTTTATTTTTCACCACCCAGGTCCCAGTTTTCAGCATTTTTTTCTTTTCCCTGTTCCTGGTTGCAAAAAAAAAAAATTTTTTTTCTTTTTTACTCATGGTTAACCCTGTTCCTTGTTTTTCTTTTTGCATTTTTCCCATTTTTTTTCTTCATTAGTCTCCTTCTCTACCTTTTTCCTCTTAGTGCCCTATCCCCAGGTATTGAAGGTTTTCTTGTTTTTTTCTTCTTCTTTTTCCCTTTTTTCTTTTTTTTTGGTTACTGTTCCTGGGTGATTACTTGGTGTATTTTTTGTCCAGGAGCTTTTAGTTTTTTGATGGTTATTCAATTGTAATTTTTGTCTAACTGAGTGGGAGACAGTAACAGTGCCCATAAGACACAACTATACCCACACCTCCTGCAACTTCACTTACTAAGCGAGAGCCACCACTTCCTTCTCCACCAACGGGCCAACAATAAAAAATCACCAAGAAAAGCCTGAATCACCCTTGGCTGCTCTTCACAAACAGTTAACAGAGATCTAAATACAACAATGTCACGATGT